GCCGTATTAATGGTTTTTATAATTTATTACTAATCTGGGTAACACCAACGTTCTATTTCAGCATTTTTTATTTACGTAAAAAGCTGCACAAGACGCAATGGGCTTTCTAGATTTAGATATTAATTTTTATTGAAGTAAATATTGAATTTTATTTTTACAATGCTGCTATCAATTTCAGGACTCATCTGAATTGGTCTAGTTTTAAGTTTTTAATAGTTTTTTCATCAAAATCTTTTTCATATGGTAAAATCTACTATTTGTTGTTTACGATCCCAAAAAGAGCATGTGGATGATCAGCACCAATAGTATTCTTTTTTGGATGATCAGCACATAGTTCTTTTTCCATAAATTCTTTTAATGTTGTGATTTTATCTTGTATTTCTTTAGTCTCTAATTGTTGTTTAATTTTGTTTAAATACATATTATTTCTTGTATCTTTTAAATCTTCTTCTCTAGATTTAATTAAAGAATTGATTTCTAATATTTTAATTGAATGAGCTTTTAAGAGATTCAATATATATATATATATGCAAAGAGTTTACTTACTTCTCTACCATAACAAAAGTGTTGAGATGACAATAAAAATAATTTTCAAAGTGCTAAATTGACAATTTATAAAAACCAACTAAAAATAAAATAAAGACCATTTAAAAAATAGTTTTCATAAATAAAAATAATATATAGTGCTAGTTGAAGGGACGGAGCTTGGTCATTAGACCTGAACTACTGCAAAGATAAACATTGTTTCTTTAAACATATCTCTCTAAGATACGTTGATTTGACATGATTTCTCTTAATATATCATTACGAAGAAACCATTGTTTCTTCTCTCATATTTCTCTTAATGAAAAAAAATCACATTCCAAGTAACTTCTCTCATTCTCTCTCTACCTGTAAGTAAGTCTTCTTCTTCTTTCTTTGCATGTAACTTCTCTCTCTCTCTCTCTCTCTCTCTTGCTCTCTCGTCTCTCTACCTGCAAGTAAGTCTCTCTCTCTCTCTCTTGCTCTCTCGTCTCTCTACCTGCAAGTAAGTCTTCTTCTTCTTTCCTATTCTACAAGTTCTTTCTCTTCTCCTTCCTCTCTTCTCTACTTTGTTATTATGCTTGAGTATTTGTTTTTTTTCTCTCTTCTTTATTATTAATATCATTTATTAACTCTTTTCTTTTCCACGGTTCATCATGATTAACTAGAGTGCTCTATATTGCATAACCGCTTTCTGTTAGGTTTTATTTTTTGGGTTTCTAGTTGTCATGCACTTGCCGGATTTAGAGGAGAATGAGAGCTATGTTACACCTCTCCCAGTTAAGAAGCAGACCCTTCTAGTTGTTCGTCCAAAACCTCATCAGTACCCCAAGCTGGAAAGATTTTGTTTGGATGAGAATCTTAAGGTTATGGTTGTACAAAGTTAGAATTTGTAAGGTGGGGGAGGAATGGAGCAAAAATATCCTAATTTTATTTTTGTTTTAAGGGAAAAATTACAAAAAAACACACTCTATATCTTTGATTGTGTTTTCATAATTTTTTTTTATTTTGTATGAATCTCTTTCACTCAAAATGAATGGAGAAATTTATGACTTTTGCATGAATTTATTAATTTATTAAGTTTAATTCTGTCTAAGTGTTACGGTAGTATATTAAGCTTCGTAATAGAGTTTAATTAAAGCTTCCTTGTGTATTTTAGTTAGAGGAAGTAAGAAATTGGTAGAGAGACTGAGTGGAAGCCAGAGTTAGTTGGAAGAAGGCTTGATTCCAAGTAATTGCACTAATCTAACCTTTTATGTCATTTATTTTAAAATGGAAAATTTCACATGTTTAATGATTTCACCAAATTCTCAATCATGTAAATGAATTTTTGGAATTAAAGAAATGGACTTTTAATGAAGAAAATAAAAAGATTTGACATACAACTAAGCTCATAAGAATAGCTTGGAATAGATACACTATTCTATCTTTCATGTTATTTCCTTTAGATGATATGCTTTACATGCTTTATAGTTTTGCTTGAAACTAATGATTGTTCTTAAAACCAAATTTTGTAAAAGAGTTATATTTTAAAGAAGTGAACTTTGAATTAATAAAATTATGGAATTTTGCTAAAGAAAAATCTTAAATTGTTTGATTTTGGATTTTGAGTGTTTGGATTTGAAAAGGAGGATGATGGCCATTTTAATATTTTGAAGTATAAGGGGTAGCATGAAAATAGAAGCGTATGAGAAAAAGTTGTGTTACTCTATGATTTAAAAGAACTTATTGCTTTTAAATGTTTAAAAGTCTCATGGTATGCATTATGGTTATTACTCAATTTCTCCTTCATTCGTTGGAGGAAGAAATCATGAAATGATGAACATTTGTGATTGAATGATTGATATGGCTCACTCATTGAGAGGTAAAGATGAATATGGACTCCCTCCTAAAGAGGTAGAGATGGATTATGGACTCCCTTCTTGAGAGGTAGAGATGGATTACATACTCCCTCTCCTAATGAACTTCATTCATAGGTTGAGGTTGAAATAGCAATACTTAATGTGCACATTTATTATCAATGGCCCTTTGGTAATAGAATGCATAAACCATGAGACTAATGAAAGGGGTTGTGCAATATAATTGCTTTTATTCATTTTGAATGATATAAGCTTTTGTAAGGAACATGTACCATCCCTTCTCGGTCCACCCGTTAACCCGCCACCCGTTAACCCGAAATGAACCGAGCCGAGACGCTACATCTGGTTGAACTTAAATGTCCCGTAGCCTGATATCATCCTGTATGCTAAATATGAATACAAAACACTCCAATTAAACCTCCAAAACTTCCGATAATCCTCCTCCAACTGAATCATTCAGAACACACTAACAATTTATAATATCTTTTCAATAATTGTAATAAATCCCAATAGAATTTAATATCCAGGCAATTTAAGTGCATTCATGATCTATATCAAGTCTTCATGAACTAATCACACTCAACTATTGTAATATTTCATATTCTCATTTCATAAGTATTATTCTTTCATCTCCAACTACTTCTCGTAAAATATTTCATATTCAATCATTTCATAAGTATTATTCTTATCTCCAACTACTTACACTAAAATAATTACATGCTTCACTTATATTTCCAATCACATAAGCTCTAACAAATGTAATAATTATACATGTTGGCACCCAAAGCGGACAATATCACACTAGGGCTGGGCTGTTACAGAACACCCATGTTTGAAAAAGAACGTTTTGAAAGAGGTTTGAACTCCCTTTTCTTATTTGGTTTGAAAATCTTGTAATTTTCATTACCTTTTCATGTTATGTGATTTAAGAGAACAGCGAAAAAGCAAGCTTTAATTGAAATGTGCTGAAGTAAGTTCAACTCAGCCTTCTTTTATTTCCATTATTTTCTTTAATATAATTATTGCATAACTAAGTTTATACTTAAGGTTAGTGTTTTTAAGGTTAGTGTTTCTAATTAACGCAGGATTAGAGGATGGCTAGAAGAGGATGAGTTCTTTTGAAGTTGTAGCTAGAAGTTAGTTTCTAGCCTAGCATGGTTCATGTACCTTACAGTACTGTATAAGGTAAGTTCAAGAACAGTTGTAGTATTTAATTAAGCAGACAAATGTAATTAACCTTGTGCTTTTTATTTGTAAAGTGTAATTGTAAAATTCCATGTTAGGATATAAAAAATTGAAGTTCAACTTTTCTATCATAGAATGGTATGCAATTCCTTTCCAAAAAGGGCCATGGGACATGGTTCCACTACATGGATATTATGGTAAAACTATTTTTCAATTCTGTAGCTGCATAATATTTCATGATTTAAATTTAAACATTATCATGTACAATTAAAAAATTTTATGCTAATTAAAGTGAAACATGATTCTTAATATAAAAAGGCAGAGAAATTTATTCAAATTAAGATGATTATGTAATCATTTGATTATATTGAGGCACATGCAAAAAATGACGTTAGTTGCAAATATTTATTTTTGGTCAATTTTTGCCTCTGCTGATCAAAAATTCATATAACTAATACATTTTTTCATCCACAATATTAATATAGAACAAACTTAATATTAAAATTTTATCTCAAAATTAATTTTGTATAATTTTATTCCAAACATTAACTCCACGATAGTGAACTAATTGAGAATTTAAAATTATAAGAGAACTTCAAGAGCTATTATGTTTAAAAGTAATAAATTAGAGACTATTTTGAAAGAGTTATTATTCAAGAGTCATTATGTTTCAAAGTCATAAATTAGAGATTAATTTTAAAGAGTTATTATGTGAAAATCTGTAAAAACCATAAATTAGAGAGAGAGTGAGGGAGACACATTTTCTTTCCAAAGCCTTCAAATTTTCATAGCTAAGTTAAAATCAAATGCTTAAATTACAGAGAGTTTCATTATCCAAAAAAAGCGCCACGTCATCATCCATGATTCTCCTTTATTATGCTTAAATTACATGAGAGTTTATCATTATTATCCAAAAAAAAGCGCCACGTCAATAATCCCATGAATCTTCCACTTTATATATATTATATCATATAATCTATATAATATTCAAATTATAATATATAATAATAATATATAAGGGTTTATATTTGTTGTAGTGAATTAATGAGTTTAAACCTTGCAGATAAATAAGATATGTAAATAGAAGAGGAAATTAAACACAAATATGAAGATAGATTCACCAAAAAAAAAAATTAAGGTCACTAAATCTTGCAGAACTAGATAAATTATACCCATCAATATTACTTCGATTGTGAAATAACTTGAATTTTTATTTTTAAAAATTTTTCATTTAAATTTAATAAACGGACACTCTAGAAAATTTATTTAATTAGTTAAATGTAAATAAAAATTTTGTATAGTTGATAAACCGAACAAAACCGACTGAAAAATCAAAAATCACACAAAAACCCATGAATTGAACCGGAGTCAAACTGAACCAGCCCAAACCCACCCAGGCATCTTCTAGAAACACTCTCCCTCTATATCCAGCGCATGCCTCACCCCTCCCCTCCCCTCCCCCGTTCAGCCATTTTTTCTGGTCACCGGCGACCACCAGCGCCATATATCCCTGCCGCCGCCGTCCCTCTCTTTTTCTTCTTCCTTTCTTTCTTCCCTTCCCTGCGTTTGCGTTTCTGGCGTGAGTTGGAGCAGCAGAGAGTCGCGATCCACAGATCGAGCGACTCCTCGTCGCGCCGGCGAGCCTGCGTCACGCCACCACGCCATCGCGTCGCCGCCAGCAGCTTCTCTCCGTCCTCGGTCAGATCGCGCCGCGTTACACTCAGCCCTCCCCTGTCTTCGAGCGAACGAACGCAGCACGATCTCCAGCTCGTCACGCCGCCAACAGCGTCCTGCAGCCGCGCCACAGCTCCGCCGTTGCTCCGGCAAGACTCCGGCCACCTGCTTGCAGTCCCGATGAGCGCAGCAATCTGTTTTGGTCTACTCAGTGCCACTGCTCTCACCTGCTCTTCGTTCCGGCGCGCGTAGCTTCCGTTTCCGGTCAAACAAATTCGGGCATTAATATATTTGGGTATAAATAAATTTTTATTAATTTTAAGAATTTAATTAATTTTAGTAATTGTGGTTAATTAATTTAAATTAATTTTTGAGTGTTGGTTTAATTAAAAATACTTTAATTAATTAAAGCTAATTTAAACTAGTATCAAATAAATTTATTGGGAAATTTTGATAATAATAAAATTAATGGAATTAAAGAAGAATTAAGAAGTTAACCTTAATGTTGAGGTTAAAGAGGATGAGAATAATTGACCTGATTGATTGCCCGATGGATGGGTTGTGTGTACTTGATAATTGATAAGTGGACAAGTCCAATTTTTAGGAGAAGTGTTGCCGAAATTTTAGTAGAAATTAGATTATTTATATAAATTAAATATGTAGATAATTTATTAGATAGATTCCTTGATTCGTATTTTAATAAATTCCTAGTCTGATATAATTTTTCCCCTGTATTATTATTCAATTCCTTAGATTGCTCGGATCCATCTATTGCTCTTCCCGGTCAGAATCAGAGTTAGAGCTTCATCTTCTGCCACGGTGAGTAATAATAAATAATGCATATCAGTATTGTATTTGCATAGCATTTGTATCTTTATATAAATTCACTACGTCTGAATAATTTTTCACCTCCTGATATTAATTCAATTCCTTAAGATTGCGCGGGATCCCATACACTAGTTGCATCTTGCCCCAGGTCAGAATCAGAGTTAGAGCTACACTTCTGCCACGGATGAGATAATAATAATAATGCATTATACGATATTCGTATTCGCATACGCAATTTGTATCTTTTATATAAATATATAATATATATATATATATATATAATAATATATAATATATATATATATATATTATATATTAATATAACTTTAATATTCATTTTTATATTTATTTTAATATCATCAGTATATTTTTATGCATATTTTATAAATATATTATGTTACTATTAATATATAACTATGGTTGCGCATTGAGATGAACTTGTGTATTATGTGAAGTGGATTGCTTGATTACTTGTGCTGTGAATTTATTATGCCTTGTTTGTATAGAATTGGGATAAAGTGGGCTATCATGGGATTGTGAGGGCAGTTTGCGATACCGTCGGCTATGTATGGGGAGAGCGGCGCCCTCGTGTGCACCTGATGATATGATATGGATAATATGGAAAATCACAGGGTGGCCTCCTATTGGTATGGAAGAGAAAAGAGAGAATAAAGAGAGAATGGAAAAACAATGAGAGGGCTGGTCAAGAGAGGATTAGACCAGTCGCTCATGTATGGGGATCGGCTCCCTAGTGCACACGTATGAGAAGGCGGGCCATGTGAGAGGACGGCTCATCGGGGGGTTTCGGTGGCGTCACTGACTAATTTCCACTTACTTGATTATTTGAAAGTAATATTACTTGTGAGTGCTAGTGTTGTGTCATATGATTGACTGGTTGTATGCTCATTTTAGAATATTAGAGTGCATTTTACGTAAATTTTTGTGATGTGTATTATTTATTATTATTCATTGAGTTGCAAAACTCACCCCCGCCCCCCTCTTTACCCAAACTTGTCAGGTAGTAGAAGGCAGTTGATCCGACTAAGCTCTGCAATCTTTCCTGCAAGGCTATGAAAGTAAATTTCTAAATTTTTTATTTAGTTAATTGGTGTTGTTAAATGTATAAACTACTCTACTTTCAAATTATTGTTGAACTCTGCAGCTGTAGGGATTAGCGTATTTTTAATTGGATGATTTAATTGTTTAATTCAGCGCATATGAACTGATAGCCCATATTATGAATGTGATGTATTACGATTAGGCCCTGATTAAATTTTATTCGAGATAATTGAGATAGGGCCAGGATTGTGATATTATTACATATATTCTAATTTACATGGGCTTATCGTTCCTAATAATTTGTGTGGCATGCATGAGTTGAATGCTTAGACTTACTACGGGCTTCGGGGGCCTTAAGCTTACGTGGGCTCTAGTGCTGGTCTGGCTTACAGAAACGGGTCGTGACAGATTACTAGTAATGATAGTTTCATTGATACTTTTACATATGACTTATAATTGAGTGTAGAAACATATTCGTGATGAACTCCAACAACAACTTGAATAAGAAAAGTACATGTCTTGCATAACAGTGTTATTAGGTGTAACAATTAATCACAAAATCCTTAATAGTAGAAAAAATCCTCGGTTTTATCAGGATAAACCACCACCTTTTGCTAACTTTAATATTATTAAGAAATAACTTGGTTTCATTAAAAAGCAAGTGTTGGAATCCAACCGCGGATATAATTAGCGCGGATATATTAGGAGTAAGTTGGAAAAAATAGGCTCTTAATAGTTATAGAAAGAGGAAGGTGTAATCATAAATATTTGCTACTTCATATATACATAACATACATACAGCTATATATATAATATATATATATATATATAATATCTATATATTATAATATATATATATATAAATATATATATAGCTGTATGTATGTATTAAGTTATACCAATAAAATAAAATTCTTTGATTGGTATAACTTAGTTAAAGAAAGTAAAACTGAATATGTAAAAGGTAACAATACAATTAAATCTTTCCATATTTCTCAGTCAAGTAAAAACGATTTGGTAAATTCATTAAAAGAACAATTAAGTAAAATTGAGGTTCCTGGTCCTTCTCAAGCATCAAGGAACATAAATATGATAGAAGAAAACACCAACTCTGATGTTAGTGAATCTAACTCAGGAGATATTAAAAAGTTTCAACTACACCATATAAACCATCATGCAATTGTAAATAGAGCTCCAACTGATACAAATAAAGGATATCATGAGGAATGATTTCCTCTGAAATTCCCTTAAATTGCCACCATCGTTTAAACCAATTTGGGATTTTTAAATCAGTGCCTGTGTGACCTTGTGACGAAGCAGAGATAAGGGAAACCTAGCTCTACTATTTCTTGCGTAAAATTGTATGTTGTATAAGTATGCTCTGTGGTTGCACCTTAGTGTGATCTTCCACATCAGAAAATTATAAATTTGTATGTTGATTCTGAAGTAAAATTCATTATTGTTTAAAACTGATCATCATCTTTAAAAATAAGTACTGTTTATCAAATAAGTATATACTACGGAATTTTACTAGAAATACAAAGATACTCTAGAAATACAAAGATACTGTATAATACAAAAATATTTTATTCGGATGAACTGGTTGTTGTATCAAGTTCATCAGATTCTATAGACTCAGATTCTGAAGTGGCTGAATCGAGATAGAGTTTATGAATTTTTATTAATATTTCTTTTTCTAATTTTAATGCATTTAATTTTTTATTAAAGCGACAAAATTTAGAAGTATGACCGTTTTTACCACAAGAAAAACAAGTTAAATCTTTAAAAGAAGTTTTACCTGAAGATTTATGTGGTTGTTTCTTTTTAGGAGTTTCAGATTTATCTGAAGGTTTTCTTTTACAAACGTTGGACGTATGTCCTGGTTTACCACAAATATAACAAGTTATATTTTTATAAGAATTTTTAGATGAAGATAAATTTGATATAGAACACTGATTACTACAAGGTTTGGTAGAAGTCATGCCATAATCAAACTGGTTACAAAAGGATCCTAATCCTTGTTGAGTTTTACGTATTTCAAATAATTAAACAAGGTGGCGACTCACACATTCACGTGCATTTCTGCCCTTAGTCATATGCATTATATGCCTATATTTTCGGGGGAGGGGTTCACACAACCAGAAAAAGAGCAAATGTAGTGCATATCCCATCATCTGCTCCACTATGGGCACCAGCTGAAGGCTGCATAACCATCAATACCACTCAATAGTAAGTACTGGCTCAAAATGCAAAAGCAGATTAGTGGGACCCAGTACGGACTAGCATGATCCATCCGCAATGCACACTCTAGCAATGGTCATAAGGGTACAACATTAATTCTGAGCTCATTAGTGGGTAACTCATAGGATGAAAAGCTGAATATTGGAAGAATCAATAAAGCTAGGTCAATGTCTAGCCGAGATACCCCAGGAATCTCTACGGTAACAGGCATTCTGCCAAAAGTAATGCTAAACTCCTCGAAAAATGGATAGATCTCGACGTCATTATGCTGAAATAAGTTGTTTGAACGGTCAAAATGGTTTATTAACCATTATAGTAGTCCGAGTTAGACCCGAATGTTCTGGAGATAACTCAAACCATCTAACTCAGGTGAGAGTATATCCCAGTCCTCGCAGGTAAGATTGTAAAATAATGCCTCATACATGGGTTCAAGTGTTTGATCCATGTGCAAGTGGTGAAGAAATAAGTGTTTTGGTGGTATTTTTTGGATTTTATAGTGTCTTTTACAGAGAATATGTTTTTAGAAGCAGAATGCACCTTTTGGCCCTTTTATATATCAATAGGATTTATAATCATATAAATCATTACTATTTTACGTAGCGTTGTAGCACAAGGTTTCCCTTGTTTATCAAGTGCAATGATAAACACCAGGTGGTTATGTGTTTCCAGCTGATATACCAAAGATTTTTAATTTGAATAGTATTTATTTATAAACATACAAGAATCCTAGGTCTGGTGCTCTATTTACTATTTCTCTATGATGGTTTACAGGATTCAGTTCAAATTGTTTTACATCTTCTGAGTCAGGTTCACTAACTTCAGAGTTAGAAGTTTCTTCTAAATTATTTATATTTCTTGATGTTTGAGGAGTGTCAGGTGCTACTTGTTGAGTAATTTCTGAACGAACCTCAAGTTTACTTAATTGATCTTTTAATTTGTTTACAAATTCATTTTGACTGGTTTTAGACATTTGATATGGTTTAAAAGTATGAGATGGAATTTTTTCGTTATCGTTTACAGTATCATCTATTATTTGTTTTGCTTTTATTAAATCCGCACTTTACAAATATAAAAGTTTAATTTATAAAAGAGAATAATTACAAATTACAAAATTTAAGATACAAATATACAAATTTAAAATTTAAGTGAGAAGCTTAAACTAGATTTTACTTACATGAAATCTCAAACCTTGAATCCTTACAAAACGTTGGAAGGAGAAGGAGAGAGGTTATGTGTTTATCCTAATCTAGGCTTATTCCAACTTCTGCCTTCACAAGGGGAGAGGCTCCCTTTAAATAGAAAATTGAAGAATCTTTACTATTTGTCTTTTACTGTTGACGAACAGTGACTTGTCTGCCACGGAATCTTTACTGTTTGCCTTTTACTGTGGATGAACAGTGACCTGTCTGCCACGGAATCTTTACTTTTACTGTTGAGCATAGTGTGCTTGGCTTTTACTGTAGCAATAATTGCTTGGCCTTTACTGTAGCTGAATAGTGGTTGACCTTTACTGTAGATGAATAGGTCTTGGTCTGCCACTTGATTACTTAGAGATAATAACTTGGTGTTTTACTGGAAATGTGAAGGAATAAGGTTCCTTCTGCCTTATTTACAGTGATAAGATGAGGACGATAATGTGTCCTTCTTTTCTTTTTACCTTTCATAAATTTTCTCTCTGCTCTTTTCTTTTACCTTTCTTTTCTTTTTTCTCGCTTGGCTTTAGCGTTTGACTTGCTTTACTGAAGGAGGAATATCAGTATTACTGTTACTATTATTACTATTATTATTACTATCACCAGGATTTGATGAAGATGATGATAATACAATTTTACGTTTGCCTTTATGATGCGTCGTTTTGGAGGATTTACTGGAGGACGAACCTTGGGCTTTACTGGGCTGATTTGAGCTGGTAGAGAGTTGTTCAAACATCTCTTGACAGATCAATTTATATTCTTCTGGTGTTTTAACTGCAGCTAACTGGGCCTGACATTGGGCTTTTTGGATACCGAACTGGGGGTTATCCTGGATAGCTAATGTTTGGGCATAGGTCAGAGCTGGTTTAGATGGGCTGGATAATTTATTGCGGATCCATTGACTAATTTTATGTTCAGTGGTGGAATTCTTGAATGATCCCCACCATTTTATTTTTATCTTATCAACATAGGAATCTGTGTTCTTTTAGACTATAACATACTGATAATCAAAATACCATTGATATACCCATGGAGTGAAGAAGGTCATACAATAATACATCAAAGAAGGAATATGAACTTCTTCAGGTTTAGGTTTATAATGGGTTTTAAAGAACTGGTACAAAGAATGGATATCAGGAGGAATGATTTCCTCGGAAATTCCTTTAAATTGCCACCATCGTTTAAACCAATTTGGGAATTTTAAATCAATGCGTATATTTTGATCAAAATATATTAACCATGAATGTGTAGCTGTGGGGTTTTGAAGACAAAAAACTTTATCCCACGCTGCTTTATAATCAAAATAATTATATATATGTCATATTATATTTATGCAAACCTTTAAATTTTATAGGAGTAGATAAAGAAGATACGGGCCAGTCCTTAGGATGAATGACACGTTTTATTTGTATAGAAGAATAAGAAATAATTTTATTTTTATCAAAAGTATGTTTTATCTTTACAGATCCTGTATCTAGTAATATATTATTATAATATGCCTGAGGTTTTGACAAATCAATTGGAACAAAGTACCAATTCTCAGGGTAATAATGTTTAATAATTTGCCAAGGATTGATATTATTATATCCATCCTCAACTTCAATTTCAAAATCATATAAATTTTTAGCAAACCATTTATGTATATTACTAGTATTAGTATATTGGATTTTTGGCAAATCCACAGCCATCAACGGATTTGATAACTCTTTACACAGCCATTAACGGATTTGATAGCTCTTTACCGCCTACCGTTTGAGACGGAGTAGCCGTATCATGAGCGGATACGATCGCTTTAGTTTTAGA